AGACAGGGTTTCACCATGTTGGCCAGGCTGGTCTTGAACTCCTGACCTCGTGATCTACCCTTCTTGGCCTCCCAAAGTGCTAGGATTACAGATGTGAGCCACTGTGTCCGGCTGCAAATATATTTCTTAATGTGAGATGATTTAAAAAGTTATAAAGCCACAGCTCTGTAACTATTTGCTTTGGAGGTAGTTTGAGTATCTGAATTCCTGATATTTTTGTGTTTTGAGGGACAGAATAGGGAGCTAAAGAGTTAGGATGCAGGAGTAAAAGAGCAACTTTATTTGAATCTTCAGTGATTAACCAGTAAAGTTGAGATGGGATTTTACTCATTAAATAGTTTTGGATAGTTAAGGCAGAATTTGTTTTGTGGAGGTTTTGAAAGCTGTTTTAACCAGAGGAAGAAACACATGTATGTGTCACAAATTTGTAGATGCATTTACTGAAAATGTTATGTATATGGTTCAGTGAATATAACATACGTGATGCTTAACATAAAGCTATCTGAGAAAATATTCTTTCTGATTCAAGACTGGAAAGATCTACTTCAAGTAAAATCAGCTATTCTGGCATTGCTTAGGGCAGCTGTTTGTTTATACCAAAAATGTAGGAACTAAAGAAATGAAGGTCTTTGGACTTTTGGGCGAAGAGATAGTCAGTAGATTTTTGTGTTTTTGTTTTTTAATATCAAATGGTTTTCAGGAAAGGTTATATAAATAAGCATCAGGTGTTTACGTTTAAGAAATTGAATTATAGATGTTGACTTAATGTCTTTTTTTTTTCTTTTATTTCTTTCAAAGGTTTGGGCCCCACGGTATCCCTGTGACAGTATTTCCCAAAAGGGAATATAAGGATAAACCAGAAGCCATGCAGCTCCAAAGTAATACATTCCAAGAAGCGATGGAAGTCAAGTGTGAAGCAAATGGTGCTGTTCCCGATGACCCTTCTCCTGTCCCGCCTCCAGAGCTGAGCTTGGCTGAAAGCCTGTGGACTTCCAAACCACCACCTCTCTTCCATGAAGGAGCACCTTATCCTCCCCCTTTGTTTATCAGGGACACATATAACCAATCAATACCTCAGCCACCTCCTCGGAAAATTAAGCGACCTAAACGAAAAATGTACAGGGAAGAACCCACTTCAATAATGAATGCTATTAAATTACGACCCAGGCAAGTTCTGTGTGATAAATGTAAAAACAGTGTTGTTGCTGAAAAAAAGGAAATTAGAAAAGGTAGTAGTGCAAGTGACTCTTCTAAATATGAAGATAAAAAACGGAGAAATGAAAGTATAACTACTGTGAACAAAAAACTGAAAACTGACAATAAAGTGGATGGGAAAAACCAAAATGAAAGTCAGAAAAGAAATGCTGTGGTTAAGGTTTCAAATATTGCTCACAGCAGAGGCAGAGTAGTAAAAGTTTCTGCTCAGGCAAATACATCAAAAGCTCAGTTAAGTACTAAAAAAGTTCTCCAGAGTAAGAACATGGATCATGCGAAAGCTCGGGAAGTGTTAAAAATTGCCAAAGAAAAGGCACAAAAGAAGCAAAATGAAACCTCTGCTTCCAAAAATGCACATTCAAAAGTCCACTTCACACGTCGATATCAGAATCCTAGCTCAGGTTCCCTTCCACCCCGGGTTCGTTTAAAACCACAGAGGTACAGGAATGAAGAAAATGATTCTTCTCTGAAGACAGGACTTGAGAAAATGCGGAGTGGCAAGATGGCACCCAAGCCCCAGTCTCGCTGCACCTCTACCCGCTCAGCAGGTGAGGCCCCTTCAGAAAATCAGAGTCCCTCAAAAGGCCCTGAAGAGGCCAGCAGTGAGGTTCAGGACACAAATGAAGTGCATGTGCCTGGTGAGCAGGATGAACCACAGACATTGGGCAAAAAGGGCAGCAAAAGCAATATCTCTGTTTACATGGCCCTAAATCAAAAGAAATCTGACTCTTCCAGTGCTTCAGTGTGTAGCATTGATAGCACAGATGATTTGAAATCTTCCAACTCTGAGTGTAGTTCTTCTGAAAGCTTTGAGTTTCCTCCAGGCAGTATGCATGCACCTTCCACCTCCTCCACTTCCTCCTCTTCAAAGGAAGAGAAAAAGCTCAGTAATTCCTTGAAAATGAAAATCTTTTCCAAAAACGTCTCTAAATGCGTCACACCAGATGGCAGGACCATATGTGTAGGGGACATTGTTTGGGCCAAGATATATGGCTTCCCTTGGTGGCCAGCCCGTATTCTTACTATAACTGTGAGCCGGAAAGATAACGGCCTTTTAGTCCGACAGGAGGCCCGTATTTCATGGTTTGGGTCTCCAACAACATCTTTCCTTGCTCTTTCACAACTCTCCCCCTTTTTAGAAAACTTCCAGTCACGCTTTAATAAGAAGAGAAAGGGCCTGTATCGCAAGGCTATTACAGAGGCAGCTAAGGCTGCCAAGCAGCTGACCCCTGAAGTACGGGCTTTGTTGACACAGTTTGAAACCTGAACATGGACAGTAAGGTAGGCAAGACCATTGGAAGTCACCACAGATTTTCTAGTCGAGTTAGGGATAATTTCTACAAAACAGCTTGGCCAGATTGGAGAGAGAAGTTGCATTCAGTTGGCTGGCTTTTTAATACTTACCTTATAGCCATTTTTAGACTGAGAAGCTTAAACTGAACATATAATCAATTTTTGTGTTGAGATTTTAGCAGTATTTTTCAGTTTTGAAGTCCAAAACCATCCCAAGGCATAGGAGCCATAGCCTCAACTGAATTGAATTTTTGTAGGGACTGTTAATTGCTATTTGTACCTAATACTGTATATATACATATATATACATATATATATATATGAAATAGAGCCTGTCACTATGTGACACAGGTTGCATATTTGGGATTGCAGTAAGGGCTTGGTGAGCTGGGGGAATAATGTGGATATTTAATGACTACTTGTTTTTTAAATAATGAACACTTAGCCTTTCTATGCACATAACAGTGTACAAGTTAGATGGTTAGGTGTTTGACAAACAGATGCTTGCTGTTCAGTTACAGACTGGGGAAATAGCCCAGTATTTGGGATTAAAACTGTCAAGACTAGATAGGTTTTAGTCATCACTGTCTTTTGTTCAGTGGGGATTTAATCAATACTTTCAAGCTTCTGGTTTGGGAGTGTAGATAGGTTTGATTTTGGATATGTAAATAGTTGATTGCTAAATTTGGTCAGATTTCTCCTGACTGGCTGTTCCTAAATTCTTAGGATATGTCCCAGTAAAATTACACTTTGTGAATTAATTGTCATTTGTGTAATTGTTGCATTTTGGATGTAACCTAATTTGATAATTAAAAAAAATAATTTCCGTTTAAGGTATCTGTTTGCAGGTCAGAAAATGAGAAAATGTAATTGTGTAATGCTCTGAAATGTAAAAAACAAAAACAAAAAAGCTGTAAATAAAATCAACTAAATCCAAATTATTTGTGTGTGTTTCTCAAAAAGCTTTGAAAAATTTCAAGATGGTAGAAAATTATTCTTTGTAAGAGTGTTTAGAAGAGATGAAAAATCAAACTTTTATTTTGCTATTTGCCCTATCAGGGAATATATTATCTGAGATTAGAAAACTTCAAATAATGAGAGATGAATCAGTATATTCTCAAAATAAGATTTTGTAGTATAGAGGTTTGATAATGCTTCTAGATTTGATATCCTCTTCCTGCCAATTTCTCATAAATGTGTGAATTTTAATTTTTACCCTTAATATTTCATCACATGCTTCCTTTTTTTACATTTGGGTAATTACAAGTGGTGCCTTCTCTTTGGTTTTCTGCCTCATGTATCACTGCTTTTGGGGCTAGTAACGTAGCTTACTATTTTTCTACATGGTCCATCTGTCCCTAAAATTTGATTTCTTATTTTCCAGTTTTAGCTCTGTATTATTAGTGAGAAATATATCTGATTGGCTGTGGAGGCAAGTTTATCTCAAGATTTTTAAAGTTGCTTTCATACTTTTTGTGTCTAACAACTTTCAGATAGTTAATTTCAAAACTTTTAGAAATTTAAGACTTAGCAGTTTTGTGGATTTCTAAATCCAGTTTGAAATATCTTAGTTACTGTGAACTCATAATGGAAAGATTAATGGAGATTGAAAATCAGTAGTCTTCTCAGCTTTCTTAAGGTTATGGACTGATTACGAATTTCTGCAAAAGCAAGTAGAATTTCTTCTGGGGAGCTCAGTCAATGCTTTTTGATTATAATAAACACACAATTTAAAAATAGATGTTTCACTTGAGTAGAACATATTCTTTCCTGCAAACAGAAACAACTATACTTAAAAAATTATTTGATTGAAATTCACAGTGTGGTTAAGAAGTTATAAGAAACTATCCTAAAATATTTTCCAAGTATTTGTTTCAGATTAATGAACTTGTTCATTCAGGTGTTTTTAAAAGTTTGAAATCTAAAGTTCAGAAAGTCTTAAAAGTCACCAAAATATGTAATTCCAAGGCTTTGTGTCCTGATCTGGGTGAGTTTTATCTTTTGAAGTGTACATTACTAATATGGTCAAGTGCTTGGTAAATGTGCTCTTGTGGCATAAACCAAATTTAATTTGTTTTAGAAGCCATGGGGAAAGAGAGGAAAACAAAAAATCATGATTGTTGACTGTAATAGTTTTGTAGAATACATCTTTGAGGAAAAGGTTGAGCATATCACAAATGATTTTATGCCAAATGACCCCTTCATTTTACGCTGGCAGTCTGGCATATTTCATTTGTAGTTTCAGTAGGGAAGCAAGTTTTAAAGAATCTCTATAATCTTAAATGTGTATTCTAAACACTAATCCAACAGCTATATATTAAACACTTTTATTCAAATGGAAATGTCTTAGGTAAATTTGTCCAGTATCTTCTGTAGATGGAGATAGAGCTGAATTGGGTAGTTGTAGCCACTTTATATTTCTTTTTGAAATGACAAAAGAAGGCACTTATTCTTGATACGGAGATATCAGAAGTGGGTATTTTTTCCCCTTGCAGTGGGAATAAACTGGCTTAGACCAAATCTGTGGCATAAGAGTTGTGGCTAAAACACAGGATTGGCAAGGGGAGAAACCAAGTGAAGAATTGTTTTTATAGAATGTATTTATAGAAACTCTCAAAAATGTAAAGCATCAGAGTATTTTCTCCTTTTTACTTTCTAGAATTTATAGACCAGGGAAGCTGACTAATCATTTGGAAGGAACATCCATTCAGATGTGGAACCAAAGATCAAATAATTAACGATGAGAGGCCAGGTGCGGTGGCTCACTCCCATATTCCTAGAAGTTTAGGAGGCCAAGGTGGGATGATCACTTGTGGCCAGGAGTTTGAGACCAGCCTGCGCAACATAGACCCCCGATTCCCCCCTCCATCCTGCAGAAAAATAAAAATTTAGCTGGGCATGGTGGCACACACTTAGACAGCCCCAGCTACTTGCTTGTATCCTAGCTACTTGGTAGGCTAAGATCGCTTGAGCTCAGGAGTAATAGACTGCAGTGAGCTGTGATCACACCACTGCACTCCAGTCTGGGCAGGAATGAGATCCTGTCTCTGAAAAAAACCATATACATCAGTGATATAGGGAAACTGGGATTCACTAGTCTGAAGCCTTTTTGCATGACTTCATAGTGTGTTCCTAGACAGTTTAGATGGAGAAAAAATCTGTAAGTAGTAATTGTAGATCAGTACTAAGTTGAATAGGCAGGAATTTTGATGTGTAAACAGACTGTAGGCAAAGGACAGGGAACTGATACTAAAATCAACTAAACGAATATATCTTCATTAGTGAGGCTGAGTATCTAAATTGCAAAATATTGAGTTACACTCCTATTTAAGCAGGTTGTACTTTTTTAAAAATTGGTTATGTTGAAGGAAAGGTCACAAGTCTATAGAATAACTGAATTGGGAATCGGAAATACCTTGTCTATAATTTGTATCTAAAATTAGGTTTTCCCTTTTAAGTTGTGAATTTTCTATGGTCTGTGCTGCATGCTTTCACTTTTATTAGTACAGCTGAAGAGATGGATAAATGTCTAGAAAAATGAATGTTTTGATTCAGGAATTTGTGCCTAGTGATGGCCTCCAATAGGGAATTTTCCAGGGAGAATGAAGACCCAATTCCTAAGTTGGGGCAAATTTAGTTTTCATTTTGGTATTGTTCTAATATTTACAGCTTTTAAAACAATCTCTTAAAAACTGCTGGATATGGCTGGGCATGGTGGCTCACTCCTGTAATCCCAGCACTTTGGGAGGCTGAGGCAGGTGGATCGCCTGAGGTCAGGAGTTTGAGACCAGCCTGGCCATTGTGGTGAAAACCTGTCTCTACTAACCTTGTCTCTACTAAAAACACAAAAATTAGCTGGGCGGGGTGGCATATACCTGTAATCCCAGCTACTGAGGAGGCTGAGACAGAAGAATTGCTTGAACCCGGGAGGCAGAGGTTGCAGTGAGCTAAGATCTCACCACAGCACTCTAGCCTGGGTCACAGCAAGACTCCGTTTTAAAAAAAAAAAAAACAACACCGAAAAACAAAAAACATGCGGGATATAAGAGAATTCAGATATACAACAAGAGGCTGATGCTATGTCAATTTCCAGGAGAAAATAAAACATTGAGGGTGTGTTAGTTACTTTTACCTGGATCTGAGTTAGTTAATAGGCCCTTAATATCCAAATATACAATTTGTGCAGATTTACTGTATCCTTCATTTAACAAATGAACAGGATTAAAAAATGAAAGCATTAGCTAATAATTATGTGCTTTGTTGTGCTATTTTGAATAAGGGAATAGGAAGTTTAAAGTCACAGTGATACAGCTGATCTGTATATTTTTAGTTTTCCAGGGTATTTTGATGTCTTTACCATGGATAATTGATGCTAACATAAGAGAAACAACTCTTTGTCTTATTTTTACTCAAGTTAGAGACCTAACATTTAGAGATCCAAACAGGTTTTTTTTTTTCCTATTTCTTGTGGCATTGCATGGAAATCATTTTCTCCTTGTTATTAACAGAACACTGTGATTTTTGTGTGTGTGGTATTTAAAAATTGTGGTTAAATAGATGTAAAATTTATCATCTTAATCATTTTTAATTATACAGTTCTGTGGCATTAAATATATTCACAACGTTGTTCAACCATCACCTTCCATCTATAATTTGATTTCGATAGAAATCTTTTAAATTTGGGATGTCACTTTCTAGAAGGTGTTGGAAATTAAGTTATAGGAGTGTTTTTCTTGGTCAGTGGTGTGGTTGGAATACGCTGCTGGCACTGCCCCACTTCCAGGATTCCTTCCTGATCAACCTGCAGTCCTATACAAGGAAATAACGGTTGCTTACAATGCCAATCGGTGCCCCCATTTTTCTTTATTTTTGAGACAGGGTTGCACTCTGGAATGCAATGGCGAGATCACAACCTAGACTTACTGGGCTCAAGCAGTTCTCCCGCCTCAAGGCCCTGGCTTCCACCATAGCTGGGACTATAGGTGTGTGCC